TTGAAGCATCCCTATCATTTGTTCCTTCGTTATCATCTAAAACCCAGAGCAAGCAAAATACTTTAAAAGACGTATGTTTTGAAAATTTTTTATACCAAACTTCAACCTGAAAATTAAAGTTATTTGTGATTTTTTCCACAATGGAATTTTAATATGAAAAACAAAAAAAAATCTGTAAAATCTGGTTGAGAATTTGATTTAACTTTGTAAATAATAAAATTATAAAGTAGGCCTAATTAAATCTGAAAACAAGGAGTTTGCGATTTATAATTTGCAAACTGGAAGGTTTTTGAGCTATATTAGATTATTAAACATAGTTTGTCTGCCTATCTGAGATATAATGAATAACACAACACAACTGGAATAATTTTGACCTAATGATCATTTGATTTATTGAATGAGTTGCAAATATTAAAATCCTAGCGTGTGACTTTCCCACAAACATCTGTGACAACCTGAATTCGTAAAAGTTAGTATTTTATCTAAGAGATAGCAAACAATACATTTTATTATAACTGTTTGAGGACCCAGTTACGAAAGTAAAGTCAGCTTTATTAAGACTTGATAAGCTTATTTAAATGTAAAATACCGACGTCACAGCAGTCGTCGTCAAATCGATATTCAATTTCACGTCCAGTTGCTGTATCAAGCCTTGGAGACAAGAAGATGAATATTTTCTGAGTCAATATTACCCATTATTTCTTGGTTTTATTTGGGTTTCATTCCAGAAGGATGGGTAATGGTCAGTTTTCCTGGAGGTTAGTTTCATAGGTTTGTGATGTGAGAGTGATTTTATGATATTAGATTTTATCCAAAACAAATCGAGACTTTTAAATTTGGTACTGACAACATTCGTGGATTTCATAGTCTGTAGAACTGTTAGAGGACAAATGACATTTAGTGTTTTAACTTTAATTTTTTAGTAATTTACCAGGCAGTAAATTGCAATGGCAGAAGCTCAACTGGGTTTTTTTTTACATTTGTTTGCACATGTATGACTTGTCAATTGTAGATAGCTACAAAATGTCCATCTTTAATCTAAGCTTTAATTCAATATTATAAATGTAGGCTATTGGGGGACGAGCTGTTCTAGTGGTTAGAGCACGGAACTTTAGTCCCCGAGGCCCCGGGCTCAAATCTCGCAAAATTACCAAAGGATTTTATCTAAGTGATGTGCCGCAACCCCTAGGTCTAGCCTGAAGTAATGTGAAAAAACAATCCCGGGCTTGTGCCTAGCGTCCTAGGATAAAAACATGTGTAGGCTACAATATCATGAGGTAAAAGACTATGTTTTAGAAATTTGTAGTATTCATCAGATTACTGACTGATATATTCTTGAGTATATTGTAGTATGATCAATGGTATTCATAAGAATGTTATTTTATTTTGTACAGAATTTCGTAATTTGCTAATATATCGTAGATTGTTTGTTCTTATCTTACAATTCTGTTACAATTTTGTTTAAATTTACGCAAACCCATGGTGGCTACTTGGCAACCTATTAGGCCAATGTTAAAAATATTAACATTTCATTTCAAGTATTTCACGTAAATGGTTGATCTAGAATAGAGCCTAGTATAAATATGAGTTTAAGCCTAAAATTAAGACAATTTATAAGAAATCGCTGGAGCCGTTTTTTTTCAATCTTTGTTGTGCACACACGTTGGACTACTCGTATAGGATTAAAATTGCGTGTAAACAATTTACAACATTTCTAAATTTATTTAAATTTGTACAAGCAGTATTCAAAGTGTAATTATAATACTGTATCATAATACGTTTAAAGTGAAAATTAAACAGCGTTAAGTGTAAAGTAGGAACCTTGTTTTTAATTATCTCATTCTCTATACAACAGGATAAAAACTTAACATTTTGAAAATACAAAATAAAATTCTTTGCTCACAAATGCCTGGGTCTCTCAGTAATTTTACAGCTAGCGCCATAACATGGGAATAACAGGTTTCTGAGCTATAAACATGACTCTTGTTACAAGCGAGGGAAAATGGAATTTTTGCGCTAGCAACACTGTAAAGTATAAATGTAGTATCTCACACTATCCTGAGAAATTGCATCTCTATTTCAAAAACTTAACAAACTAACAATCTAACTGTGTAGACGTAACCAGTTTGATAAGATAATTAGGAATGAAATACTCACATAAATTTAGAAATTTAAAATTTTTCTGTTAAGTTGGAATCTGTTATGTGTTTCTTTAAGAATTGATGTGTTGTCAGTTGCAATTAAATACGTACCTATACATAAAATATTTTGGAAAAAATCATAACGACTAAGTATCGTACATGGTAATAAAAAACCCAACATTAAACAAATGAGTTTTTGTGATCCAATAGACTAAATAATATTGACGATTTAAAATTACGAGTTTTTGAATTAAAATCCATTTTTAGCCCCTGAGCTGTGATATTAATTAAAAATAGGTATTTACCTTCGTCTACAGCTCAATCTGTTGTAACTTGGGTGTCGGCATCCAGTTCAGATCGTGGCAATGTCAACCGGTACCGTGTGTGCGACAGGCCTGTTCGTTGTGTCTTCGTTAGTAATTGTAAAATGTTATTCGTGTCCGTGTTATGTGTTTCAACTATGACGACGCTACTTCAGCTGAATGTTCAACGTCTGACGATGTACATTATAATGCCGAAACGGCCGTAACCCAAGTTACAACAGATTGAGCTGTAGACGAAGGTAAATACCTATTTTTGAGTTTTTGAACTCTTATACTGTCTTTTTAAAACACTGACAATGTTTAATGAGGTGCTAGATAATGAGAGTATATTACATTTTTTCAATGGAAACATTTTCAATAAGTGTGCCGAATCGTTGTAGGCCAATTTTACTTATAAAATGACAATGGCCACTGACGGATTGCCATCAATATTTTATATGAGTAAGAACATGCTGTAATCAGTCCTAATACTAACGGCGGTTTTATTCCCAAATTGTTAGCTAGGTATCTCGTTCTCTCTTTTATTAGGTTGTATGATGAAAATAAGTCATGAACTCGAGAACATTTCAGGTGAATTATATTTATATTCCTGCCTTCTCCATATAAAAAAAACTTCAACTTATTTCGAAACCGAGAATACAGAACCATGACTATATAAATGGTGCAACGTACATCTGAAGTAATACATCATGTTATCAATACAGTCCAACCCCGGAGCTCAGATAATACAGTCGTGAGATGAGGAGGAGTTGACTTGGGCAGTAATGTTCTGTATTTTACGATCACCTTCGGAAATTGTTCTGGTAAACCACCAGACTGCACGCTCAGTATTTAGCTCTTCTAGTTGTGAACTCTTGTAACGCCGGAGGTGTTAAGTGTATACAACTATATTTAATGGTTTAGCATGCTGCGCATTGGATTATTACGTCAGTTGAAGGGACGGTGTATACTCAAACTTTGAGATACATTTGATTGAAGCGGATTTCCTTTTAGTGATGATTTTGTGTATAACAACTCCTTGATCAGAAATGCGCAGTTATGTTGTGTGGGTAAATTGTTTGAATAGGCCATTTATAACATTTGGTTCTTTTGGATTGATTTACAACGCATACTATATTACTTTTAATTGCTTTGTAATAAAAGGTAACACAATATCTCAGTAGAGACTTCAGTGACCCGTTTAGTATACAGTTCAGAGTTTGGGACTTTGGTTATGGGGTAGTAGGTTCAAATCCCTTAGATCATGAATGAACTATAGCCTAAACTGTATAGTTAAAATCCGCTAAGCCTAGTAGAATATTTTGGGTACTTACTTCCCAAAAGGAACATGCGGTCTAATGCTTATCAACTGAATCTTTTCACAATTTAGATACTGTAGACATGCCAACTGTAAGAATTCAACATTTACAACTTTTATACTCTAACGATGTCAGCATGGTTTGCACAGGTTACTTAGGTACTGTAAAATTGTTTTGATTAATGAAGTAGTTTCTTATTTTAAAATAAACTACAAATTAGTATTAAGGCTAAATATATTAGCTCTGTCAAAATAGAGTTTTTTTTTTTTTAACTAAGCTGTAATTAGGTTTGCAATAATATAATGATCACCTTTGAATATAATATTTTTGTTAACGTGTGGTATCCTTAAACTAAAAATAAGAAATCAAATCAAAGAATAGTTATTTTAATGTATGAATTTGTGTGTATTTTTATCAAAATATCACTAATATTAGGAATCTATACAAAAGCTTGGAACATTTAATGAAGCAAAAAGCTAATATTAGCATTAAATGGTAAAGCTCTTCAGATATAAGCAATTAGGTTTTGGGTTACGCACTTAGATCTCCAATTAACAAATTGTTGTGCACAGTAAGGATCGAGAAAGAGTGTAATCATGAGATGGTTGTAGTCTGAAGTAGATCGTAGTTAGAATTCAACCAATTATATCTTTGCTTGGTAAAAATGTTCAACAACATGTTGATGTATAGAAATAATGTGAATAATTATTTAATTTTTAATTTAATTTTTATTGTAAATTAATTAGTCTTGTCTAAGGAACATCTCGGCCATAGTAACAAGACTACAAGATCACGCCACTCATACTACACTCATCTCCATTCATACTTGGCTTAAAATACCTTCGTATGGTCGCCATTTCAAGTAAAAGTAAAGTAGGTATTGAAGTAGACATGGGAGACTGCAAAACGGAAATGTCAAACACACAAAATATAAGTCTTAATTTTATGGCGGTAGCAAACAAACATGAAAATTTGCAATAGTTGGAAATAACAATCTCGATACAAATGAATATTATATTACCTTAATAATGAAAGACATTGTAAATGGTGTATTTAACTTTTAATTCTGTATTTACTTTTGAAAAATTGTTTTGTCAAGTAGTAGCATGAAAATCCCAGTCATGTATACAATATATAAACTATTAGTAAGCTTATGACGTACCTCAATATAATTCTACAAAGCTACATGGTTCAAAACATCGCTGACCTTAAAAACACAAAAAAATACAAGAACTCACGTGTGTAGTGTTTGCAGCGTCCGCTACAGGCGCTAGTTGCACAACTGGTTGAGGTACAACTGGTCCTTCCGGTTGTGGCACTACAACCTGCAACCGAAAACTGATTATCATAATCATATATATGGTTTGTGTATAGGTTGAATATGAATAATTTTTAAATCTGCAAAAGGCAGAGGAATGCAAAAAGTGGTGATTTAAGATGAAGAGGATTATCATAAACTAGAGGTCGTCCAGTAAAACCCGACCAACAATATGTAATATACGGACTTAACTATTTTCTCCTCGTGATGTAAATAAAACATGATGATTGGAATTTCTTCAATTTGTTTTGATTTTCTGTTTATATTTCGTTGTTATTTCGTCACCAGCATGGCAACCCATAAGGCCCATGCTAATTAAAAAAATATATTAATATGTAGTGCTTATTTTTGAGCTTATTTTAATTTATAAATGTATTCTGCACATCTACAGTCAAATATCTTTTTAACAGCATGCATAGGTTTCCCTGAGATGCACATTAGCTGAGAAAAAAAGATTTTAAAGAAAAATGCTTGCATATTAATATATGTACTATATACGATATGCCACGTAGTACTTTATCTCTTGTTGTTTACTGGTTATCTCTAAGAAAACACTTTACAGTCCGTCTTCTACCTTTTTCAGCATTGAATTATTTATAAATCACATAATATTTTAAAAAGTGATTCTTAAACATGGTAAAAATTTTACTCCGTTTACATTTACCAATAACGACAATAGTGCGTTTTGATACCAACAAGTCAAAATCAAATATTATCGTTTGAAGTTGAGTAGTTCGGTTACCACATCAATGTAATATCTGTGTTTAGCAACGTACATATTGTATCAAGCCATAGACCTACATCTGATTGATTTGTAATACATGTAATAACATTAGAGCACATAGGTCTGCTACAGACCATCCACTCTAGCATAACATTATGCACAAGACATTGAATATGCATACACAATATTGATCCAATTAAGCCACCAAACACTTTGATTTTATTTTGTACGTCAGCTGAAATAAGATGCTCTAAATGGTCACAAGATGACTCCTTCCTCTTAAAAAGTTAAATGGAGATGTTTTCATCATATTGGAAAGTCAGAAATTGGTCCCAGAACTCTTTTGCAAATCATAAACGAAGCGTAATAAATTTTAAAATTACATTTACACAAGTCTAAATAATTTAAGCTTAGTAAATCACAACCAATACCAAGACTTAGTGCAATCAAATGTAAATACGATCATATAAAGTACATAAACTCGGATCTAAATACAATTCGGAGCACATGTGACGGTATTTGGCATCAATAAACTCTAACTCATGGACTATGCAGTGCAGAATACTTTTGCAGCTGCTCGTTTTATTGCTAATAATACCATAGGTTTATTTCATAAATTGTCTTTCGATGTTTTCAGTGGTAAAGAGTAATTGTGCATCTATCATATCATGATTGGGAGAATGTATTATACGGTAGTCAAAATGGAGACCAGAACCAATAAAGTTATAGAACTAAAAACTAATAGCTATTACCCTTGGCCTCAACTGACTTAAAATGCGCATACAAATCTTAAATTTTGTTAATGCGTTATTACACCTCTACTCTGAGAATGACTACGTAATTCGATGATGTCACACCATCCTCTGACCTCATAAAACTTAAATGATTTGAATATCCCTAGGCTAGGGTAATCATACTTGAAAAAAGTAACATAAAACAGCCAGGACGAAAATAGTCATTTGAGTAACTAATCTGCGAATAAAAAAGCAAAGGCACTTTGCGCTTGTGCTACAAATTATATTTTACCTACAGTTTCTAAAAAACATAGAAATAATTAGTCTTTCAAATACTAAACAACACGTTTTAGGTTAGGTGTTTTAACAAGTAAATAAGTCCTAAATTCGTTTGGTTGATTTAATTTTTTTTCTTTGCAATTTTTTAACACACAAAAACACAACACTTAAAACACATTTCAGTACATGTTCGGATTCGTCAAGTTCAAACAACCTTCAAGACGTAAAAAATCCGCAGACAGGTGATTACAGAGTTAAGCGTGTGTTGCTTAAACTTAAGTCTAACTCGCAATTGCGTGAATATTCCTCAGAAATGAACTCACTGATCAGTAAACTCAATTTTCCGCTCGGAGTCTGTAAGAAGCAACGGAAAACAACTTATTTCACAGTCGTTACGTTCTCATAGCTTGACCTGGTACTGATAGTTTTCAACGGTGTTAAGTTTGCTTTTGAAAAAAATACAACATAAGCTACCAAGATCACAACTTTGAATTAAACCCTTAAATCCTTAGTTAATCTCTTCAACGATACATTAGTTTGTAACGTTGACCGTAAATAGTGCAAGAATAGTATTTTGATTTTTAATATCGCATAATATAACAATGCAATAATATTACGCATGGTGCTCTTTAACATTACAAGGCTAATCGTCAAATAATCTAGTATAGCATGCAATTTTCTTTTACTATAAACCCTGTAACGTACTATAATGTATCCTATAAAACAATGTCATGTAATTGAGGTTAGGATTTTAAAGTTTTTGAGTTTATGGACATCTAACATACGAATGAACTAATTGGGTAACCAGCAATATTTTATAACTTTTAAATAGGCAAATTTAAGATAAAACCAGTCTAGATCCAGAGTTTTCAAATATTATTCAATGGAAATATTGTTATCTTCCCATCTGCGTGAAAGTAAAATCACCTACTAAAATCATTTTTCTACAGTACTAGGAATGCGTAAGCTACAACACTGATGGCTGTGTAGTGGGTGGTTGTGCCGGAGTCAATTAATAATAATTAATCCTCCCTCTTCCATATATATAAAAAAATACTGTGTATTGATAAACATCTATGGTATCATTATTGTGTCAGACATGTACGGAGTTTTATAAACTAGTCTTATGAAACATGATGGTTATTGAAACCTTAACTAACTTCAGTTGATGTTTGTTTATGGCATCAAATGCTACCAAATAATTTTGAAGTGAAAACTAGAAATGTCAGTACTGTATCCAGTGTCCAACTGGCATATGTCAAAGTTCGTCAACTTTATCTTTTTAAAGGTTAATAGGCCTAGTTAAAAACATGACTTTTTTTATTTCACAAAGCTATTCAGACAGTTACGAAATGTAAGACGAAACCAATAATGTCAAGAGGGAGGAAGAAAAATTGTCGCAGATGCCAAATCCGAATACATTAATATGAATACACTTTCAAGATAAGCCATGTTATTAAAGTCTTATATATTCTCTATCTTCGGCACAGCGGTACAGACAATGGAATTATTTCGTAATCTTACAACGGCAGAATGAAATGAACAAGTTGAGAAGAGTTTTGGAAAGAAGATTTCATGTGAGAGACAAAGGCCATCCAAATAATAAAAATGTTATATAATTTTGTTTAAATATATTTTTAACAATAAAATAGCATTTGTGTGACAATAAAAAAATTAGGGCTCGTCACGTTCAGTTTCTATTAATCAGCAAGAATCATGCTTCAGCAGGTTTGTAATCTAAATGTGGAAAAAAAACTCTGCAAACTCCTGATTAATTCGGTTTCCAGGCTCTTATTCGTTCAGCACATGCCTTAAGCCTCTTAATCGTAGCAAAACTAATTATGTTAATCTAAATCAAATCAAATCAAATCAAATCATTTTATTCAGCTAAGTCGACAATACATTGCATTAGCTAAGTCAAACATAAATAATACAGCTTTCCTTCTTCGTTTTAAGCTAAAGATAAGATTAGGGTATTTACAACAACATTTAATACTAATTATATATACATCATCTCACTCAACACACCAGGGTTTACAACAGTCCAATTCCTGTGGTTCAAGAACTCCTGGATGCTATAACACGAGATTTTAAGCAAATGTTGTTTTATGCATCGTTTGAATTTTGAGTGGTCTGATTCTAATTTTAAAGAAAGGGGGAGGCTATTATACAAATTAATTCCATTGTAAAGGCAGTGTTTTTTGAAAAAAGATTTAATATGTTTAGGGATTGGTAAATTGTGAGAATTTCGGAGTAAATAAGAACTAAGATACAATTTAGTATACTTCTTACAGAATTTGGGTTACATTTTATATTTTATACAAATCTCGAGCTGAATTACGGAGTTGCTGCACAAGAGCTATTAACCCACTAATTCTTCACATGTGTGTTCGTTTTCAGTAAAAATGCAAAAATATTCGTGAAATAAAGTTCACAGTGTTTATATTTATTGAGAATGTAAAATAACGTTTTACACCACAGGTTAAATTTATTTCTTTATAGAATTATATTTTCTGTAACATAATAATAGTGGTAAAAAGCCTTAAAAATTCCAGTCCTAAATTGAAAATTTTTTACTATGTATTGAGTTAGACTGCATTCAATTTTATTGAAACGTCTTCAGCAAAATTTATTTTACTACACAATAAAGTCGTTAGATTAAAAGTCAACTATAGGAAAGGACCAAAATATGTAAACACAATCGAACAGTTCGTATATTATTTATCAAACACCTAGCTGGTCATACTAATTTAATAAATTTATTAAATACGTCATAAAGATCATAGCTATAATCTTCTTTATAAAATCTGAATAATCCTGAAATATCTTAAATACATTGTAAAAACTGCAGTATATTAAGTATTAAATACAATAAATAGTTCGGATAGAAGCTCAGAAATCTTCTTCAGAAAAGTGAAACATCTTAATAAAACTAAAGAGAACATTTTAATTGCAGCCAAGCAATAAAGTAGATGGAAATGAACGACGAATTTAATTAACACCCGGATGAAACCACCCACAGTAAAATGTTTATCGGAAGCTATCTTCAAAACGTTAAAAGGGTGAGCTATAAAATGAAGTTTCGTATTTCAAGACAATATCAGTGTACATCCTAAATTAGTTGAACGTAATCATTTATACGAATTTGAAGCATATTTAAATTACAGTAAAATTAATATACTTGCAGAGTATATTTGAAATTGTATTTAAAAAAATATTAAACATATAAACAAATTGGCTTATTAGGATTTTTAAATTTGAGCGTTCAAA